GTTTTTGGAGGAGAAAGTTTGGGTTTTTTTCAGAGAGAAGTTGGGATTTGGTGCGGAGGGAGGAGAGGGATTGGGGACGGGGGAGTGGGGGTTGAGGGGGGGAAAGTCGCTTTTTTTGGGCAGGGTAAAAGTTGTTTGGGGGAGCAGAAAGTTACTTGGGGTGGCAAGGTTGCTTTTGGGGCAGAGAAGTCACTTTTTTGGAGGAGAAAAGTGGCAGTTTAGGGAGATAACTCATTTTTAGAGGAGTAAAATTGGATTGGGGGCAGGGAGTCACTTTTTTTCAGGTGGGAAGTTACTTTTGGGGAAGGCAAAGTCGCTTTTCGGAGGAGAAAAGTTGTCTTTGGGAAAGAGAAGCCACTTTTGGGGGAGAAAAGACACTTTGGGGGGACAAGAGTTGCTTCTGGGGGACAAAAGGCACTCTATTGGGAGAGAGGTTTCTTTTTTAGGCAAAAAGTCACTTGGGGGTACTTTGGGGGGAGTAAATGTCACTTTTTTGAGGAGAAGAGTTGCCTTTGGGGAAGAGAAGCCACTTTTGGGGGGAGAAAAGCTGGGGGGGGGGCAGAAAAGTTTGGGAGGACAAAATGCACTTTATTGGGAGAGAAAAGTTTCTTCGTGGGGATAAAGGTCACTTTTTTTGCGGGGAAAGTGAAGGGGAAAAGAAGTCACTTTGAGACAAGAGTCCCTTTTAGGGTGGAGAAAAGTTGCTTTTTAGGGATAAAAGGGGTTTTTTTGAGAGGAAAGTTACTTTTGAGGGAGGAAAAGCCACTTTAGGGACACAAAAGCCACTTCTGGGGGGAGAAAAGTTGCTTTTTGGGGACAAAAGTCCCTTTTGGGGGGAGAAAAGTTGCTTTTTGGGGACAAAAGTCAGTTTGCAGGGGGGAAGAAGCCACTCAGAGCAGCTGTTTGGAGAGAACTTGTTTTTGGGGGGAGAAGTAGCTCTTTGGAGGAGAAGTTTTGGGGAGAAAACTAACTTGGGGGGGGAGGTATTCTTCAGGGAAGTGATCTCTTTTGGGTCACAAGCCACATTTTGGCAGGGGGGTGAGGTGGCTTTTTTGGGGAAGAGAAACTGCTTTTTGGGGGAGAGAAGTTGCTTGGGAGGGGGAGGATGACAACTTTTTTAGAAGTTGCTCTTTTAGGGTGAAAAATCTCTTTTTTTTTGGTGGGGAACGTCACTCTTTGGGGCACAGGGGGGACAGTTTTGGGGTAGTTTTCCTGGAGCAACCGGCCAGGGGATGCCAGAGGGGAGCGGGGGCAGACAGGAGCTGGCCCTTGGCTGACGCTGGGGCAGGATGGGGCCGGTATGGCCACCTCAGTCCCCGAGAGCCCTCTGCCACCCTGGCCAAAAGTCACGGGATGGGGACAACAACACAAAATCAGCGCAGGGAGGTGGCAGAGGGGTACAGACCCACTGGTGGGGCCGAGCCCCGGCCTGCCTCGGTGCCTCCCGGCCGCACACAAAGGACCAGGCGCTGGGCCGCATCCCGACTCCCTCCGCGGCGGGGCGGCGCAGGGGGACCACCCAGCCCGAGGAGAAGAAAAAAATTATAAAAAAAAAAAAAACCAAACCAAAAAAACTCCACCCACGGTTTGCGACAGCTCCAAAAAGCAGCAACGAGGCCAGGGCCTGTGATGCTGGGGGGGCAGCAGCAACCCCCCCCCAGCTCACAGCACCCCAAAATTTTACAAGCTCTTCCCTGGGGCAGAATAGGTGGGAATTTAGCCCGTCAGCCCCCCCTCCCCCCTCCCCAGAGCAGGGCAGCAAGCACCTCTCCAAGCTTTCCCTGCTGGGGGGGGGTGGTGGGGTGGTGGTGTCTCTGCTGTCTACTAGCTGGCTGTGGCAGCCCTCCCCCTCTTCTCCCCCCCTGTTTTGGGGCCTCGCAGCTGACCCCCACCCGCATAAGACTGTTGAGAAGACAGGAGCACTGCACAGCAAGGGGCTGGCCTCGACCCCATCCCCATCCAGCCATCCCCCAGAGCCATGCTGTCATCCCCCCGCAGGGTTGTCCCCCCCTCAGCGATCGAGCAGCCCCCCACGTGGCATGGCAGAGATCGCAGGGTCCAGCCTTTTCTCTCTTTTATTGTCCACAAAAGCAAAGGGAAACATCACGGCCCGGTGCTGACCCCTCAAAAGGGGATGCAGGACTGTGCCTGTCCCCCCCTCCGCACGGGGCTCAGCACCCCGTAGAGACGTTCAAGCCCCCCAGGGCAGAGATGGGACCCCTGCCCTTGGCTAACAAAGCACTCATGGGTCCTCCTGTTCCTTCTTCTTCCAGGGTGGATGCGCAGGTGCCGGTTCCTGCTCCCGGCTGGCAAGTGAAGCCCTTGGCTGTCCCCACGGGGCACCAAGATGGGCTCCGCAACACCCATCGATGGGGAGAACATCCCCATGTCCAGAGCCAGCCTTGCCTTGGGTGAAGACAGCTCAGTGTGTGGATTAGGAGAGGACAGACAGACAGACAGACACCCATCTCCAGCACAAGAGGAGACGGGAAGCACATCTGAGCGCAAACCAGCTTCATGCACAAACTGCACGCCAGCTCTCGGTTCCCCGGACGGACAGACAGACAGCAGCTCACCAGGGCTGGCTCAGTCCCCCAAACAGGGCACAGCAGCATGGCACATCCCGGCAAACCTGGCACCCGCTTTCGCGCCGGCTGCCAAAGCCGTGGACTCCCCAGCGTCCCCACACGTCCCTCTCCACAGCACAGTGGCCAACCTCCCTCTTCTCCAGCAAAGCCCCTTCAGCTCTTCTTATGGATCCAGGGTTTGGAAAATCACTGTTGAGGTCCCGGCTCCCCAAGCCACCGCTGCACTGCGGGGACAGATGCTGGTTCCACCGCAGTGCACCGAGGGTCAGTACCAGGGGTCTGCCCGGTGCTGCTGGTTGTAGAGCTGCAGTTTGATCTGGTCTCTGATCTGGTTGATGAGGATCTGAGCCAGCAAGATGCCCACCAGCTGCAGGAGAGGAAGAGGAAGAAGGATGCCAGGCAGCGTCATCCCGCTGTCCTACAAGCGGGTTACGCAGCTCCAGGCGAGCACGTGCCCGACATTTGCACCGCCCACCCCACACCCCAAATCCTGCCCCGACTCCCCCAGAGTTGCAATTAGACGCATCGTTAAAGCGACTCCCAAACGACACGGAGAGCAAAGCAGAGCTGCAGGACAGTCCCTTCATCCCGCCAGTCCCCCCCACCCCGGTACCTGGGGGACGGCCAGCCCCAGGGCGATGCCCCCCAGCAGGAAGAGGTTGCTGTGGATCCAGTTGACCAGCTTGTCGATGCAGCCGTTGGTGTAGATGAAGGCGCTGGCCTCCAGGTAACTCATGGCCTGCATCCCCTGCCCACACATGGTGTTGATGACAACCTGGGACGGGGGGACAGGACACAGAGGGGTTGGGGACAAAACGCACCAGGCTGGAGGGTGTCCCTGCCTCTTGGGGGGGCAGCCGTGGGGGCAACCGGGAACTCTGCCCTTGCCTCGGCGCCAGTCGGGGTATCCCTCTCCTCTGGGCCCAGCCCGCCCTTGGCGTCCCCCAGCCCCATCCCTCCACCGCTGGGTTCCCTAAGCACCCCCAGCCCCCAAAAAGGGACAATACCTGGGGGTGGCAAGGTTGGCAGGGTCCCTGCCTGCCTGCAAAAAGCCCCCACACACACCCACAAAGCGGGGCTTCATCCTGACCCCACCACAACATCCCCAGCCGGGGGTCCCCAAACCCGGAGGGCAGATGGGCTCCCATACATTGCCAGTGGTATTCCCTCTCCTGGGGAGGGGTCTCCAGGCTCAGCACATCCCCGAGGGATGGGAGGAGAGATGCAAAGTGGGGTTCCCCTGAGGACACCCGGGGTCCCCCCGATGATGCCATCCTCACCTCGTCGGTGTCCCGCAGGCAGCAGGAGAAAGGGACGGAGCACCGTTCCCGGCTGGGGTTGGCGGCGGTGCAGTTGAAGTACATGTTCTGGGACCAGTCCTTGTAGGAGACACCCCCGCAGCAGCTGAACTGCGGGGAAGGGCATGGGGCGCTCAGCGGGGAGGGGACCCTGGCCCCCTGAATTGCGGGGACACACACGCGACAGGAACAGTGGGACAACGGGGCACGGGATGGCGGGCTTCACGGGCAGCAAGTGACAGCCCTCGCAAGCCCACCTACGTCCAGCTTGCCCCATCACCACTGTCTTTAGGGACTGCTCCCGGTTTTAATAGGCCCTACGTAAACACAGGCTCCAACAGAGACACTCTGAGGGGGTGTCTGTGCCCCCCCACCCCCTTTCATCTAGGTCTCCCCCACCAGGGCTTCAGCACGAACACTAAACCCTCCCAGAGGAGCCACCTAACGTCCTCAACCCAGGAGATCCCATGGATTGAAGGCGAGAGCCAAGACCCCTGAGCCTGACCCACGAGCGGGGACACGTCCTCATCCGTGGGAGGGTGATCACGCCTCCCCCTCACACCTCCTTCTGCCCGAAGTCAATGAGGTTCTGCAGGTCCAGGTCATCCCGGTAATGCACGATGGCACCGTTGATGATCTCGCTGACCTTCCCGCGCGCCTGCGGAGGAGGAGGACATCAGCAAGGTCATCACCCAAACAGGACAGGCTCGGGGTCATCTGGCCCCCCAACCCCCCCACCCCAGCAGTACCTTATCGGAGAAGACGAAGCCCAGCACGCCAGCCGCCAGCTGCAGGAGGAAGATGATGGTCAGGCAGACGGAGAACTGCGGGCGAGAGGAGTATGATGGTGTGGGAGGGCCCACAGAAGAGACGCCGAGGTGCCACGGCGGGGTGGGGGGACACCCCGGGAGGGACCCGCCGTCCCCGGGGACTCACCGCCTGCAGCAGGCAGATGTTCTCCCGCAAGGAACCGACGCAGCCGCAGAAGGTGATGAGGAAGGTGAGGACGCCAACCACGACGAGCAGGATGGTGGGGTCCACCGCCAGGCAGGCCATCGCCGCCTCTGCCGCGGTGAGCCGTCACCAGCAGCCCCCCAGATCCCCCGGGATCCCGCATCCCGCTCCCCTGGGGACGGGGCGACCCCCCATCAGCAGGCATCCCCACCGCGGTGCCGGCTCAGGATCGGCCCCACTCTCCCTCGGCCGGGCCGGGGGGGGGGGCACCAAGGATCCTCGCTACCCCCACCCCGAGCCCCCCAACCTCACCTGCGTGCTTCAGCAACCGGGCGTAGACCCCCACTGCCACCATCACCATCGAGATCACCTGTAGAGAACAGGGGGGGGCAGTTTGTGAGCTCCCCACCCCAGGCACCAGCACCTTCCTGTACCAGGGGTCCTGGCTGCAGCCCCCATGGAGTCGGTGCTGCAGACGGGGCACCAGAACCGGACCCTCTGCCTCAGTTTCCCCTTGTCACACGCCCCCTCACACCCCCGTATGGACCCGGCTCGCGGCGTTCCGGCGTCACGGGTGGGACAGAGCCCACCGCCAGCGGCCCCGGCGCACGGGAGGTCACCTCCATCCCCACCAGCCCTTCCCCGCTGTGGGTGGCTGGACCCGGGGACGGAATTTGTCAAAAGCGAGAAACTTCCTCAAAAAAAAAAAAGTGATTTCAAACACGGAAACAGCCCTCCAAAAAAATCCCAACCCTCCCCCCCCAAAAAAACCCATGCAAAATATAACACCCCCCCCAAAAAAAACCAAACCAAAACATTTTAAAAAAAACCCAAAATTAAAAAAAAAATTTAAAAAAAACCCAACATTTTTTAACACCCCCCCAAAAACCCCAAACATAAAAAAATCCCCCCAAAACCATTAACAAAAAAAAAAACAACGAAAGACCCCAAAACACGGATAGCGGTGTGGCTCCCACACACGGGGTATCCCTGGGGGTGGGCTGGGGACAAGACGGGGGGGGTCCGTCTGCACCCCCCCCCCCAATCACTGCTCTGGGGGGGGGGGCTGTGCCTGCGCGGGGCCAGGATCGGGCCCAAAGGCCGGCGTTTTGGTGGCGATGGCCCCGGGGTGGGCGATCTCCCCCCCCCCCCCGTGACCCTGCCTTGGGCGGGGGGTGACACCCCCAAAGGGCTGTGGCAGCCCAAAGGGTGGGCTTGGGGGCAGGGAAAGCAACAGGTCTGGGGGGAGGAGGGGGCAACCACCGGGGGGGGCAGCCCTAAAAGTCTCCAGGGATGGGGGACCCCACTCCCGCAGCGATAAGGGGGCGTCTCGGGGGGGTCCCAGGGATGGAGGGGAGGGTCCCGAAGACCCCCCGGGGATGGGGAGGGGCGGCGATCCTAGGATGCTGGGGTCCCCGCTGAGACCCCCGGGGAGGGGGGGGGGGTGTCCCAGTGGGGTCCAGGGACCGGGACAGTCCCGGAGGTCCCCGGTGAGACCCCCGGGTGGGAGGGTATCGATGGGTGCCCGGGGATTGGGGGGGGTCCCGCCCCGCCGGCACTCACCCAGAAGAGCATGTTGAAGAAGAAGAGCACGTACTTCACCACCGGGCTCACGAAGGAGAAATCGTCCCCGCGGGGACCGGCGCCCCCCCCCGCCCGCCCCGCCATGGCCGAGCCTGACCGGGCCGGAGCGGAGCGGGTCG